ACATGAAACAAAACTTCAAAGAATTACGCATTAAAATCCGATCAAAATACGACAAATTAATAACGCGCTATTAAAACGCTCGTCCTTCGCAAAGTACCGCCACTACTGACGCTATGGGCTCGAGCGGACCGCTCGTGCACAGTTGCCGTGTTGCAGATCTGTCGTCTATGCGTGTGTGAAGTATATTTGATGAAAATATATTTTAATAGACTGTTCTGCACTACAGGCCTTATTTCAGCATTGGCCTTATTTTTATCAGCCTTACCTTACCTTACTTAAAAATATCCTACAAAAGTTTTCTTGCTGCTAAAACTTAATATAACGCAGACAAGAAAATAACAATATCAAAAGTTTTTGCGATTTTGTCTTTTAGTTAACTGTGTCATAAATCAAAACTACTGAAGTACCATTGTTACCCGATTATAATTTGAACTGGTCCATGCTTTAACTTAACGGAGTCGACACCCAAATCTGCCATAATTCACTACTTGTCTGCTGACCTAAGATACAGCACATTACCTTCGCTACAATCAGGAATTAGCACTGAATTAACTCACTCTTGGCATCCGCTGACTATTACACTGGCACTTAGCCATTCCCCTGCACCTCAGTTTAAGTTCAGACCTAGTTTTGTTAGTTTGTTTAACCAACAACTCGACCTATTTTGGTATTCGCACATCGGAAGCGAGAACTTGTTTCGCTTGTATCGCTTAAAGAGTTGTGTTGGTGTGTGGTAGGTATTCTGGCATGATTCTCTAAACTTAAACCTAATTTTAACATAAGCCCTCCTTTTCATTTTGTATAGAAAATGACAACGATACACTGTTGTCAAATTTAATTTTTGGAGAATCATGCCAGAGTCGCCACCATTGTCAAAACAAAAACAATGCTAATTCTTGCATAAGAGAGCATTTTGTGAAGTCTGCGTGATTGGACAGAGAATATGGATAATTGAAACCCTAAACAGAAAAGTTTCTTCGAACTGTTACTCCCATATAGTCTATTATGCATAAACGCTGTTAACCTTTGACTTTGTAGGTATTTCCTCTCTATAAATGATAAACTATGCAAGATGCCTGTACGCAGCATTCGCGCATACGAAACCGAAGCCACATACCTGATTACTCACAAGAAATTATTAGATACAACAAGAATGCGTGGACGAGACGCTATAGAGACAATGTTTTGCTGCATAAGTAGCGCATCTGCGTAAGTTTTTATGCTAGAAGCATTTTTAGCATCACTCACATGCTTATTTGATGTCAATCCCACAGGAAAAGTCTGGGAAAAGAGATCTATCACATAACTAACTTGGCATACAAAATGGAAGTATTAACATTTGAAACCCATTTATATTGATTGTTTGTCTCATGTCAATAAATGTCATGTACAAATAATAATATAAATATTTCAAAATGTATTTCAAATGTCTAAAATTGCATTTAGATAATGCCAACATAGAAACAGGGTTATTAAATGAGAAATAGAGCTAGATCTTCCTAGTACGCCAGCTGATAAGCTGATTGGTATGTGCCTAGCAAGAGCTGCTACCTTTCGCTCCCAAAGATCCCGGGTCCGAACCTTAAAAGTTAATGACGAACTCCCGTAATATACCTAATCAAAAAGACCTGTATTCTTACATCATGACAATGATATATTTCATATGACCATGGCCAAACAGACAAGTAAAAAGATATAATGATAATATGACGATCTTCCTATTGTACAATCAAAATTATTCGATTATTTTCCTGTGTAAATGAATCATCTCCAGGAAAGGTTTTTGAAAACATTTCATAAGCCAGAGCAACATCAACTTTCTAAGTATAGATGTCTGAAAGGCGATCTCTCTTTCATATTTCGTAAAATAACCCAACACAATATGTGTTTATCAGATCTTCACTAAATTAGTATGGGAAAATCTCGCTAACAAGCTCTTCCAAACAAAAAAGAATCATCAAAATCGGTTTGCGTCATATTGAGTTATTCGTCCATTTGTCGCACATATACTTAATGCAAATTTAAGACTTATATGGGCTTATGTATGCATATTGTCAGAAGTGGACCAAATTGAAATAGGACCACGCAGAAAGTACCAGCTTTCAAATAAAAAAATCTAAATCGGTTCACCCCGTCGAAAGTTGTAAGGAAACAAACATTAAAAAACCACCTTCTTTTTGATGTCGTTTGATAAAGTAAAATCATCATCATCAACAGCCTATCTTAGTCCACTGCTGGACATAGGCCTCTCCAAATGCACGCCACTCAAATCGATCTTGGGCTACTCGCATCCAGCTCCTATAATGAAAATATAAAATATAATAAATACGTTAAAGTCGGTTTATTAAAAAAAAATGTTACCTGACGACGAAGATAAACTGCGTTTTGCTGTTTAATAATTATGTAGCTCATTATTGTTGGTCGGGGCTGATCGCCGGCCTTTCCGCCGGGCAAGCCGCGGTCCGGTGCACACTGCGGCTGCGACACACAAACAGAAATGTTGTTAAAAACACCATCAATCAACAATGTCCAGAATATATAAAACTTTGGGAGAGAAGTTCTCCATATTAAACGACAAGCATAATGCAGTTTCTATAAAAGTCGTATGTTGGCGCATAAAATCAAATTTACTGCGCAAGTTCCTCGGTCACTTCCAGCGTATAATAAGATTACTCAATTTAAATACTGTTAACTAAAATTAGTTCAGCGATATATTAAACTTCAATAAATGTACGTTCTTGAGATTATGCAATTAGAAATATGTGAAAAAGTGTCTTCAAAGATCGTAGCTAAAATCCTCTATCTTTTATTTTAACCCAAACATTTAAAAAACGTATTCGATATGAATATTTGACAGCGTCTTATTTTTATTTAGACGATTATTTCCATGTTCAACCTTTTTACTAAACAGGTATTCTCAGAATGTATTCAAATTATATAGCCGCAAAAAACGTTATATTTATTTATACCACTTCTCAGTTCTCCAAATAAATTGCTCAATAAGATTATAACATTTCTACGGTCTGACATAAAAAAAAGTTTGATTTAGGAATGTTTGCCATTCTTCTTCTTTTACCATATACCTAAATTAGTAATAACATCTTTGTACATAGGTACGTAGTATATTATTTTCTTATAACTTATAGGTACTTTTTCATCATTACATCATCGTTATAGGTAATATATCATTATCACCAGATCTAATTGACTCATTGGGTGCGCACAAGACCGTTTCGGATGTCAATCCCCAGAGGAGGCTTATGTACATCAGTGGAAGTCCATCGGCTGATGATGATAATGAACGCTAATTGATTATTTTTCATTTAAACAATCTGTATTCTAGATATCTTTTTGAGATTTCACATATAAAAAATAAAAAAAACCCTCGTCCAAGTCGGTCTATTCGTTTAGGAGCCACCATGCCACAGGCAGACACATAGATCCTTCTTTTTCCGACAGGGATTAAATAGAGACACTAAACACATGTCCTCTACATCGTTCAAAAAGTAGCCAACCTGAATGATTTATTATTGTACACATGTTTAATTGTAAAGTCACATAGCAGTCAATTATTCTTTTGAAGCTAATACGCGAACGGAGTTGTAACAATCAGTTAAAATAATAATTTACTTATGCTTATATGTATGTTAAATATTTGATCTAAGCTGTCTTTATTATAGATTCGCTTTTAGATAAAATTTACATTTAAAGATTTGAAAGAAGAAATAGGTACACAATTCATAGCAACGTATAAATTGTACAAAATATACCTCACCTTAATGGGGTGATCTTAGGATGTCTCAGCATACTCATAATTTTTTACCGACTTAAGAAAAGAAGGAGGTTCTCTATTTTTAATGTGTACATGTGTCTCAATTTTTATTTTTTTATGTGACCATTCAGACGGGTTCTTGCCTGAATGATTTATTGCTAAAAACATGTTCAATTGTAAAGTCACATCGCGGTAAATCATTCCCTTTGAAGCTAATACGCGAACCGAGCTCTAACAATCAGATAAACACAGCACAATAAGGCGGCAGTGCTCATTGAGATACAAAACGTCCCTCGCGGGATCTGGCTAAGTTTCCCAACCATTGTGGACCAACAATTAGTTCTGTGCCCGACACCTATTCATTTCACTGTATTGTCTCAGTATTCGTGCCGTTGTTTTACTTACCTCGTTCAATACCACATCATCGTTTATATGTACACGACTACGACTATAGTGTCACGTATTAAACGTTTTACCTATAATAATAAAAATAACAGTCTAAAAGTTACAGTTATTTTATGGTACAAACATATAAAGTTAGCTATCATCAAACTCTCCCAGATTCTCTTCGGATTATTGGAGCCAATTTTGTATTTGACAATAAGTCAAATCAAATACAAATACAATATAAAATAATAGTTTTTCGTTAAAAGATTATTTTTCTTGTTCAATTCAATTAACATGAGCATTTAAAGGTGATTAGTAAGAAAAAAGCTTAATTATCAACCAACCTACTGAATTGTTGCATCTGTTACCCAATATTGGTTAATCGTTAATTTAAATCCAGCGAACATTCTGTATATTACCCAATACTTGGACACAGTGGTGTGTAAAAGGAATGCGTTCAAATGCCTTCCGAGGAACAAGACTTCGCTAATATAGACATCTGGCCAATTACCAACGACCATCTTATGAGAATTTTGCTTAATCTCGGAAAGAAAACCACAGCGCCATCGAGCTCTTCAGAATAAATTGCTTCATATTAGTTCCGGCCAATAGCCGGCGCAATAATTGCTCCTGCCTGCCCTGTAATCTATAAGAGGGTGTTTTTATATTTATTATTAGGAACACCTTTTTCACGATTATACCTATTTGATCCTTGAAGGTTATAAATAGAAAGACTTTATGAGACTTTTGAAAGCGCGGAAATGGTGTTACCCTTAAAGTAACATTCTTGAATATACAATATGGTATACTATTAAAGTAAAATTATTATTCTTGTCAACAGTACCAACGGTCGTGAACACATCGACGGAATTTTTAGATGAATACTACAGGACGGATACGCCACCATCGTCAAGAAAAAAACGCAATTCCTCCCTCAGGGTATCAGTGGGATTAGCCTGCGGAGCACTGGTGGGGGGAGGCGCGTTCATAGCCGCAACCGCTGTGATTCTGGCGAAGAAAACTAGACGCAGAATACCTAACGTTTTAAAGAAACCGTTTTGCCCCTCTTTGCGACATGGGAACTCGAATTCCAGAAACAATCGAAGAGCACCCAGGCTGGCATTGGCACTAGCGAATTGCCCGCCAATCCATATGTTACGGTGAGTTTATACCAACCAAATACTTTCTTGCAACCTAAAATGTTTCAATCGTTGTTCATCAACGTAATATATTTTTATTTCATCTAATTAATTTGACCAAAATTACATTTAGAATTATATGCGCCCCCGACTGCTATAGGCGAGCTCAATCCTAATTCATTTCGCGTATTTAACAAACAATTTTTGGGAACCATTAAAAATGCTTACACTTCTGAAACGCCTGAAACAACGGAACTAGGCATAATGAAAATAAAACAGCTGTTTTAAAAATCCGACGCACCGTCAGCAAATATTTGAAATGGTCCCAGCATTTTAGCCGTGTAAACTGCGAATTTGTACGTTGAAAAAGACGAATTTTGTACGTGCTTTAATTGAATTAGTACGCTCTAAAAAGGAAAGCCGTTTAATACGCTTTTTGTGTTACGCGAAATAAAAATATGTTTTTTGTTTCTTAGGTTTTCACGCGCAGCACTCATTAAATAAAACAAGTTTTATTTAAAAATATCTTTGTTTTCAGCCCTGCGGTTGTTGACGAGGATTACAGAGAGCCCTATAATATTTGGAGGGAGACCCTCGGTCGTCGTGATAAACGCGATACACACGACCAAAACGAATACAACGGTGAGTTTGGCAATCTTTTTTGTGTCTAATGTCCATTTATGATATGTGCACCTACTGTAAAACCAACCATATCAAGATATTTTTTGCTAACCAAAAGCTACTATCAAGTATGACTTTCGTTTTTTCTATTCGTGTCAAAAATCTAACGCTCTTTTGCGTCATGACATTATCAATGCACAGTTAAAAACTCACACGTGGCCTACCATTAATCCATATACTTACCACTACGATATTAACTGAATATCACTGATTGTATTTTTTTTAAATTTCTCTAGTAACAGCAGCAAATATGTACACCGAGTAAACATTCTGGCTACGGTGTTACCCATTAAAATTCACTCGAAGTCCTTTCCAATATACCGGAATGTTAACAGCCTTTCATTATAATATCGATTGCCTCAATAAATACTTCACCACAACCACGAGTTCGACAAATAATTCAAAAAAACCCTCTGTATGTTCGGTATACACTTTCCAGACATTAATAAATCAACATGATAAACCGAGACTCAAATAGAGGATCCCTATCCAAAGCCTTTTTTCTTGTTAGCAAAATGAGCCACTTCAATAACGGAAGCAAAGCGTGGAAATATCTGATTCGATTTGTTTACATATTAGCTACCATCACGCTGTTTGCTATAAACAGAAATGATTCACGACTCCAACAAAAATGCCTTGTGGCTGTGTTGCTACTGTGGGGTGGACGGTCCTCAAACAGATAATAATGAAAAGTCTAATAAAGAAAAGAATACTTAATCCGAAGGGTTTGACCCTAATTGCAAACAATGCCGTTTCGCCGATGTGCACATTGCTGCAAAACAATTTTTTGTTAGTAGGCTCCAGTTGATGCCTTTTTGTGACATGTGAGTAATTTTGAATCACTGCAAGTTATTTAACACAGATACATGACAAAAAACATGTAAAAATGGTATACGGACGCTTAGTTAAAATTTGCTGGACTTATTTGTGAGACGTAAAAACATATTTCTTCGGTACAATAGAGTGTCATAAGATAATTCTTAACTGAAAAAGTGAACGAGATAAATAAACCTTTTTTATGCCAGATGTACCTAACCCGATTTACTTTACTGCAGTTACAGCTGAAAGAATGTGTCCCGTTACTATTTAGGTATCAGCTTATAAGCCCTGTTTTTTCCGACTGACGCTAGTTAGCTCGGCCGCAACACTCGGCTTGCCTCTCGACTGCACTCGTCGGCTTTCGAGGGCACTCGCCCCTAGATTGTTACTTCCCCTACCGCTACCTCTTTCCCGAATGGTTGAAACGAAACGAGCCTAATGATTTCCTTAACGACGCAACTATTTTGACAAACTATTTTATATTTCTTTTTACTTTTAAATTTTTTATCAACTTTCGTCACAAATAAATTGAAATGACTTCATCGAATGAAATAATATGAACACTGTATATCATTATTAATTTTTATAGTTTATAAGTCCCACTATATAAAATGGGCAGTTTAAATTTTGTTCAAAATTGATATTTTTAAACACTGCTCTAAGATATCGAAAGCTGACATTAGTGCCTATTGAAAAGAAAACCCGAAGATAGAGGCGTGCTCGTTACGCCCGCCGGACATCCGGTCGGAAGGGTGGCCATTGTTCAGTTGCCATATTGAAAAGATGATGCTCCCCGAGTACAGCATAATGCGGCTGCTCAAAACCATAACACAGTAAGCCACATTCGGAAAAATTTACAGGACGAGCAGAAATGTGTTTTTGTCTGTGTTTAGCATATTAAAACGTAGTGTATTAAAGTGTTAAACATCAATCAAAGTGTAATTTATTGACTATTTTTTTAAGTTATAATTTTTTAAATAACTCATTTAAAAAGCTTTAACGGTAAAAAGAATACAAAACATATAATTTTATGCCCTAGTATGAAGCAAATCTATGTTCTTTCTGATTAGTACCAGAATAATAGTACTAACACAAAACACAGTATCTCTTATTCTAGTATACGAGTAAGTTGTATAACAACAATTTAAAGAAACGAATATAATTTAAATTAAATTATAATAAACTAGTGGAGTCCGCAACTTCGTCCCCCTTATCATGCTATTAGTTTTTATAGTATAAAATGTCCTGTCCCGTGTTTCCAACTATCTCTATACCAAATTTCAGTAGTTTAGTAGAATGTATGTGCCGGGTCGAATCAAAAACACAACGTGCTCGCGGCTAATTACATGGCAAACTACTTATCGCGGGTGTACGTTCGCATTTCTTTTGAATATGTGAGTGTTACTAAGTAACGGTTGCACAATTTCGACGGTAAAACCAAACCCAAAACCCCGAAACACCCATGTCTCACACTGTGCTTTGATTTAGTTTCTGAGACATACTGTGTTTTGATGTGGTTTTTAGTGCAATTTTGTATCTTACTATGTTTTAACTTCTTAAAATAATTCAGGCTCAAGGCAAAGTAGCGCTACGAGGACCAGACTATTTTGTAGAGCGTTAACAAGGTGAATCAGGACAGCTAAAATTTTTTTTTCTGATATGGGCCTTACTGTGTTTTGGTTTTGGGCAGCCGAATGGTTGGAGTTTTTTCGCTCCTGAGCTCTACGGTACGCATAAAATGGTCAACCTATGACGCAGATGTTTAAACATTCTTCTTATGCATTTATTCTTTGTCATTGAATAGATATCTAATACAATTTTCCCTTTGATCTCGACGAGGGGGCTGGAGCCTTTCATAATTCTTTTTCATGTCCGTGATTTAAGCTCTGTAACAACATTTTAATAATCGCATTAATTGCTTTCACCGTATCTTGTCTTCAAAGATATTATAAAGTATCTACAAAGAAATAAATTGGTAGGGATGAGTACGCCAGCTTAACTACCTTTATACTTTTAAAAATGTTTTTAAGGCAAACCATCTTTATACCAATATAAATAAATAAGTGACAAGAAAATTCCAACATTACTTTTCCATTTGTCAATCAATAATTTAATTCGTCCGTCTCCATATCATACTATCGAGGACAAATATAAACGAGGAAGATCTCGACGAAAGTAATTCTATTGTCAAAGGAAATATTAGCTGCCATAATAGATATTGAATAAGGTAATGTATACATAACATTATAATAAAACAGAACTTTAATAAACATATCATTCGTTTAAAAAACAACGTGTATTCGTTATTTATAAGAAATCATTCCAAATTTATAACGATCTTATGAATCATGAAAAATCAAATGATAGCTGAATATCTACTTCTTTTATATTTTATCCTTTTCATTTAAGCAATATTATGCTCATCAAAGTGTACAATAAACACGAACTTTTTCACTTTGAATTTTTAATATTTTTATTCCTTTGTAAGATTTTTTTTTATTTATTAGTGACTAAAACAAAAAGCTTTAAATAACTTTATAGATTACATAACGATAAAATATCAACTGGTAAACTTGCAATTAGCGTGAATGATGCATGCTGCTTAGAGTTCTATGAAGTGTATAAAAAGAGCGATTTTTATCAGTAGTTTAAACAATAGTACCTACGTCTAATCTGGAAAGTGTCTACAGATAGGGTTAATAATCAGACTTTCTGGCCATAGGGGTTAAAACCCCAGTGGGGTTAATGTCAGTACGATAAATACTAGTATTTGTACCTGAGTCTTGGATGTTTATTTAGTATGTTTAGACAGATATACTTAAATATGTATCAGTAATATGTATTCTATCCGTTGCCCTAGTAGCCCATTACACAAGCCTTACGGTGCTTAATTTGGGGCTAGGTCAATTGGTGTGAGTGTTAAAAATATTATAAGAATTAAAATAAATATTTCTACAGTCACCTTCTAATTAGCCATTCCCAAAGAAAGCACTGTAATGTTAATGTTACTTTACTAGGATAACAGACAAATATATATATATTGGTATCAGGTAGATGAATATATTTATTGTAGGATTATAATAAAGTCTGCCATGGCTTTTTCCTACCGGGATTCGATGCTAGGACCTCAGAGTAGGCGGTACCTTAAAAACCGGAGTTCATACCACTCTACCATGGTTGCTAAACATTAAACAATTTATTTCCTGTGGTATTGGATACAATTTGCACTTCGAAATAACGTTAATATCTTTGCCTACACATCATTAAGAAATGAAGTTCATTCAATGTCAAATAGTGTTGACCGAGATAGTTCGGTGACTGTACCTCCTTCGTTATACCAATATTCAGTGGACTATTATGAAATCCCCAATTTTGCCTCAGTACATTTCTTACATCCTCCAATAAGGTTTTAAAGAAATTTCCTTGCCCACAGAAATTTGCGAGGACTCCGAATTTCCGCGACCCTACATGATGAAGAGACCTGATCCGCACGAAAGTTTCTACGCCGCCACAGACATAATACATCACGTGAGTACACGAAATATTCACCAATAATGATAGATTGTTAACATACAATCACTTCTAGTTTAGTAAGTTTTCTACAGTGAACAGAACTTTTTACACAGAAAATCTTTTGATTTTTGCGCTAGATTACGACGCGGTCGCGGTTCCATACCTAAGTCGTATTATCTAATCATAATCATAATCAAATCATAATCAAAATCATTTATGCAGTTTAGGCTGTTACAAGCACTCATGAATGTCTAGAAGCTACGCCATCGGTTCGTAAATCTACGACGGGAGACCTTGTACTGAGAAGAACCGGCAAGAAACTCAGCAAGGGCTGTTTTTTTCTCCCTGTTTTATTATTTACAGAGACGTCAAATTCAAAAATGACTTCAGAGGTGATTCATGAAGTCACTTTTCATTACATTATTATTAAATATACATAAATTGTTTACCTGCATTTTGATTGCTGTGTCATATAGTATAAATACAAATAGTGTTATTAATATTAAGTGTGACTAAACATTAACTTCAATATTAAGGAAGTTAGGGCAGACTCATCTCCGCTGGCAGCACCCGATTCTATTAACCATTCATCCACATTATTTGTAGTAAAAAGAAAAAGTCTTTTATTATAAACACATGAGATGATTAATTTACTTATTATTACTTATTTTAAGAATAATTTAAAATTGTTAATAATACCGGTTCAATATGATCGATAAACATGACCTTTTTTTATTTTATTTTTTTAAATGTAGATAACTACTTTTTATGACTTAAAAATAAAAGTTACACATATTCTCCCACTGACTTTTTGTAGGCATGATCAAGCTCATCATCACCAGCCTATTAATGACACTTCTGGGGAATAGACCTTCCTTATGGATGAAATAGGGAGATTAGGCCATGACCCACCACGCGGGCCCAGTGCGGATTGGTAGGTGCTAACGACTGCAGATACAGCCAGGACCAACGGCTTCACGTGCCTTCCGAAGTGCGGGGGAGCTCGATTTAGTAAATTCTTGGTCACCCATCCAATGACCGACCACTGCGAAAGTTGCTTAACTTCAACGATCGCAGCCGAACGCGCTCACCACTTGCGTCATCGAGCTCATCAATGATCAAACTCAATGCAACTTTATTCTAGAGTTCAATATATATCTCAACGTTAAGGCAGACAGCGTTCGTAATACCGGGTTCATACGCAGCAATTTAAGGTTATCAGGCGCTAAATCGCCTTCGGTTTGAGCCGTCTGAACAAACATTCAATCAAATTGCAGCAATCAAATTGAAGAAAAGCAATAGAATTATAACAGCTTGTGTGAAATCGCCTTGTGTGAACCCGGTATAAGAATCGTTTTCGTTGGACCGTTTTTTCTCCGACTTACTATGCAAATCCGACTACAACGAAAAAGTCTTTTAATTTTTCGGGTTAATGAATGAGCCTGTGATACTCACAAATAACGTGACTTTCTATTGAAAAAAATATTTTCAAAATCGATTCTCTAAATCTAGAAATTATCCCCTACAAACTCCCAAATGCAAAAAAATTACCTCTTTTTAATATTAGTATAGATAATTTCCCTCGGAACAACATTACAGTGAAATTACGTACCCACATCGCCGTAAGCCCATTAGCATCACAAGAGGTCTCAAATTAAGCAACAATATTATATTTTGCCTAACTTGAGACCAATTTGAATTCTGATTTACACAGGAAACTGCCTTTTTAGTAAACTTTCTGTTGAGCAAAACGGTATTCTTATTTAAGGGAACTATTCTAATCTTTATACAAAACATACTATGCTTGAGTAAAAGCTACAGCGCAAGGATATGTTATATACTTCATAGCTCGTAATGAATACACTCAGGCAGAACATCGTTAGCTTTTAACGGGGCTGCGTGAAGCGTAAAAGCAAAACGTTGTTCAAGAGACAAACGTACATAATTTCTTAGTTAGGTATGTTGGAACTGACGTATCTTAAATAAGAATGTAAGTGTCGCTGCACACGGGCCACAGCAACAAACGCCGCCACGAGAAACTAGAAGCGGCAACTATAGTGGCTGAAGCGCGCGACAGCGGCCGACTAAGGTCAGGGAGAGAGGGGTGGGGAAACGAGCGAGTGACTTGTGGCGGCGTTGTATCAGCGCATTAAGTGGCCGGTGCGGGCCACAAGAAGCGAGCAGCGACAATTTTATAGCGTGTGGCGGCCACCGGCGTACCGTGTGTGGCGAGTCCATAATGTATGAAAACTACAAGTAATATGGCGTTGGCGGCCTTTTATGGTTGTGATCGGTGGCCCGTGTGCGGCGACACTAAGAGTGGAAGGAAATGAGGATGGAAAAACGTTAAAAAGTATTTTTTACCACACGATAGCTAATATAATTAGTATAATAAGTAATATTATTCTGATATAAACATTATCTAAGAGTTAGCACTACACTACCTAGCTCAACGTTCACTAGCCCTGATTTTAAAATCGGGTAATACTTATTTTGTTATTTCTTATAATTATAATATTATCAATAGTCGCTTCCCATTTTAACTCAGTGATGTAATTTACTACCTACCATTTAAAAAATAGATCTCCATGCAAAATGTGCCATGCATGCTGATATATCTCAGTTACCTTTTACTGCTTGGGTTGGCATGGCACCTTTAAATTTAAATAAGTAAATAATATGCAGAATATGTATATTTTTTTTACCTGTTAGTGGTCTTGTTTTAAGGAAGTCCGTTTTTATTTTTGTTCATTCATCCCTTGTTTCATCCCTTCAAGAGCAAAACTTATTAAGTAGTGTTACTTTTGCATATAAAATATTGTATGGTGGTGTAATATATTGGAGAAACTCGATGGCGCAGGTGGTTAGCGCATTCGGCTTGTGATCGTGAAAGTTAAGCAACTTTCGCAATGGCCGGTCTTCGGATGACTGACCAAAAACTTATTATCCTCCTCCTCCTCTATACATATTTGAACATAAACAATGTATATCTTTTATTTTATCCGCAGTACATTTGTTAGGTGAGCATATTTGATTATGATCAGCACTGCATTCCGAATGCAAATCGCAAAATTCATCATAACCGGAAATGTTACAACGGCAGTTTGAATGATAACACCCTTCTTCCATTAATTATCGAATCAACTGATCAAATAACCAATTTAGAACCTTACACCCCCTTGAAACTCGTTTTGGAGGGCTGTTACTGTTTTGAACTACGAAATCGGAATTCGAGGCCATTAGGATTAGCCTGCTTAAAATTTCAATTTTGGACCATTCGCACTGATGATAACCTCGTAATAGTTTGCATATTTCGTATGGAACTGTGCTCAATGAATTTTGAAATGTTTCAGTTACATTCGTATAGAAATATGACCTAACTAATGAAGTGTTAGGTCACAATTGGATGAGCTAATTTCTGTATTTATTTTATTAATTACTTCGCCACAATTTGTGTCAATTCGTTCATCTTTTCTAATTATAAAAATTCAGACCTCGTTTACAAAGATCCGTGGTCGTAGTGGTAGAAAGCTCGTCTGCCACGCCGACGGCCCAGTTTTATTTCCACTTTTTAAAGTCAGAGTAACATCAACTATCTAACTACGGGTACTTTTAAAAGTTTTTCTTGCATCGTGGCTTTTTCAAACTACCTTGTCATTTCTTGAAATGATGTCGTTTTGGAATTTATTAAAATCTAATTGCCAAAATATTTAGATCACATTATGGCCTATGCCTACTCTGAAAGTCAATTCAGAATACGTACTGGTGAAGAATGTTTTAAACCGAACGTGTAGTTCCGGAGATTATATCCAAACTTACTAACCAATGTCATATCCTCTACGGCCCCCCTAATAAGCTTATAACGATTACCCAAAAGTCCCGGTCGTTGTGCTTTTGATGATGTACAAGTGCATAATTGGTACTTACAAACGGTACCTACCCAGTTAGCTCTATTAAACGCTAAGGCAGTAAGCTAGTTCGGAAGGTTGCTACTAACAGTTTCGCTAAGCGGATTGGTTTACGCCGAAGTCGAAGATAACAAGCGGTAGCCCTCGTAGCGAGCATGGAAAATCTGAGTTCCTGTGATTCGGTATCTGCATTTTGCGTATTATGCTGTGAATAACGGCGGCTGGGAGCGTCAGTTGCTAACCGCATTCACTAATACCGCTCGTTTTGTGGCGATTCCGCTATAACTTTGCGCGCCTTTGACATTTGGAAACCGCTAATCCTACGCCATTAGAGCTTTGAACATACGTAAGAGCCAAAAGGATATTTACGTTACGCGTTCAAAGAGTTTGCTGTATAAACAGTGTTTTACTCTATCAGTAGCAATTTTAATGAAAGTATTCCGAAGTATTTTGCGTTGTGTTTATATTAAATCGTTAATTTTTTTAAAGTTGAATTATACATTATTTTGCTACTATGTCATTCATAGTGCGATTGTGATGTGAATTTTTTACTACATATGTTTGTTTGCATTGTAGGTTTTGTTAGCCGGACCGCCAAAATTTATCATCGCAGATAGTTTTGCATAAGACGTAAAGTTTATAATGTTAAATTATATGTTTATAGTGTTAAATTATAGTAGTGAAACGATAGTCTGTTGCTGCATTCTTGTACAAATTCATAAATTTATTACTCTCGCATAAACAACTGGGAAAGCAGAATGTCTGCAATTCATCGCATTAATATTCCAGACTTAATATCAAACATTTTTGAGACGCGAACTGTCTGGATAGTCAGAATACACCAAAGAGGAAGCTGTTGGTATTACGAACAAAAGCATTTGATCGCGTGTTGGAATGTTATTATGATAAGTTTGGCGAGAGTGGAATGTTGCATTGTTGCAACTACATTATGGCTGACTCGTCGATGGCCTCTGCCATAAATTTGTGGCTGATCAGCCCGGCAACAATCATGTTCGCATAATGAATGCGTACTAGGTATTTCGAGGTAACTAAGTATTACGCTACGCTTCAAGTGTGTATTGGTATAAAATTGGCAAACTTAGTATG